ACTGTTTAATGAAAAATCATTTCCCAAACTTGCCGAAAAATCGATAGAAACACATTTAAATAATTTATCAAAATCAGACTTATTTATGAATTTATTAGTAGAAACAATAATGAATATAGTATCTAATAAGAATGTACCTATAAATAGTAATACTATAAAAGAAAATTTACATAATACATTCAGAAAAATACCTTCCAAAAATAAAAATGGCTAACTTAAATATTGTACAATGGAATGCTCAGAGTTTAGTAAGCAGTAGGCTCATATTTACAAATTTTCTTTATGAACACAACATCCATTTAGCATTAATATCAGAAACTTGGCTAAGACCGAATCAACAATTCAAAATAAAAGGTTACAACATAGAAAGAAATGATTCTGATAATATACATAATGGAGTTGCAATATTAATTCGCAATAACATTGTTTATACTAAAATCAATACAAATTTTGATAATACTTTGCAAAATATTTGTATTCGTATTACAATAAGAAATAAAGATATATCAATTGTTAGCTTTTACAGTCCTCCAAATACTAATCCTGCCTTTAGTAAAAGCAAATTAGATTCTCTTATAAAATCTATCCCTGGTCCGATGATTTTTGCAGGTGATTTTAATGGTCATCACTCTTCTTGGGGCTGTAATTCCACAAATCCTCGTGGTCGAGATATTCTGGATATCATTGATGAAAATAACTTGATTCTTCTTAATGATGGGCAACCAACCACAGTTGGCTCTTTAACTTGGCGGCCCAATGCTCTAGATTTGACCATAGTTAGTCCTTCTTTGGCTTTATCTTGTGAATGGTCTGTTCATGATGATCCTCTCGGCAGTTATCATCTACCTGTAAAAACAAATATTAGTCTCAATGTCAACAACCAACAAGATTGTAATAACAATAATGTCATGGATGATAAGGTCACTTTTCCAATATTCAAAAATTTTAAACTGGTTGATTGGAAAATGTATCAATGTAAAGTTGAAAGTCTTTTATCTGAGTTTTGTGTTCAATCATACACCCCATTGGAGGCTTATACACTATTTTGTGAAATTCTTTATTCAGCCACAGAGTCTTTAACCCCTACCAAATTAAAATCCAACTCTACCAACAGAAAAACTGGAAAAAGACTCTCATTACCTTGGTGGAATAATAATTGTTCAGTTGCTGTGAGTAATTCTAAACAAGCATATATTACATTTAAAAATAATCCATCAGAAACAACCTATTTGGAATTTAAAAGGTTGCAAGCTTTAAAAAAACTCACCCTTAAAACTGAAAGATCAAAAAGCTGGGCTGATTTGTGTAGTTCATTCAATCGTTGTACCCCTCTTACTGTAATCTGGAAATATATGCGTAAATTCAATAAATCTTTTATTTTAAGTCATCCAGACTGTGACAGCTGGGTTTTACCTTTTCTTAAGAAATATACTCCTGATTATGTACCTACTCATCAGGACTGTTCCTACAATAGATCTCAATCAAATTCCACCAACCTCTTTTTAATAAAACCATTTACAATAACAGAATTGAAAAACGCAGTCTCCTCCAGAAGAGAAAGTGCATTTGGATTGGATGGTATCCCTTATAAAATGTTGAAAACTCTTAGTGATTCTAGTTTGCAGATATTTTTGAAGGTTTTAAATCATCTTTGGGAAAACAATGACATACCACCTTGTTGGAAAATAGATTGCTTGGTTCCTATTTTAAAGCCTAATAAGCCTAAATTGGATAAAGATTCTTATCGCCCTATTGCACTAACTTCATGTGTAGGAAAAATTTTTGAACAACTACTAAAGCAAAGATTGGAGTTCTATGTGGAAAAAAATGGCATTTTACCTTCGAATCAGTTTGGATTTAGAAGAGGTCGCTCATCTCGTGAAAGTATCTGCCAATTACAACTTGACATCCAAAATTGTCTAGTAAAAAATCAAACTATGGTGTCTGTATTCTTTGATGTTGCGGGAGCTTTTAACAGTGTCAATGTTGATGTGCTTTCTAATGAGTTAACTTCAGTGGGTATACCACCAAAACTTGTTCATTGGGTCCAAAAGTTCTTGTCTGAAAGAAAAGTTTTTGTTAAGAATAATGGTTACCTATATGGCCCACGGTTGGCTTCTGTTGGTGTCTGTCAGGGAGGAATTTTATCTCCTCTTGTTTTTATATTATATATCCGACGTCTCAACTTAATTCTGGGTGGACATGTCAAAAATTTACAGTTTGCTGATGACTTGGTAGTATATGCTTCCGATCATAAAATTACAAATTTAGTAAATAAAATTAATAGTGCCTTATTTAATCTTAATCAATATTTTACATACTTAAATCTTGATATTAACCCATTAAAATCAAAACTGCTTGTATTTGGGAAAAATAGATCTTTGATGCCTACTGTTTACTATAACAATGTTGCTATTCCAGTTTCATTAGACACAAAGTTTTTGGGTGTTTTAATAACTCACAACTTATCTTGGAAAAAATATATTGAACACATAACAACTAGGGCTAACAAAGCTTTAAACATATTAAAATCTTTAGTTTCTACATATTGGGGAGCTGATCCTAAGATCTTGTTGTTACTGTATAAGTCTTTGATTCGCAGCCATTTTGAGTATGCTTTTTTTTGTTTTGCTCATGACAACAAAATTGTAGATATCCTAGACAAAATTCAAAATAAAAGTATGCGTTTGATAACTGGTGCTTTCAAAAGCACTCCCATTAATGTTATGCAAATTGAGTGTAATCTTTCTCCCATTTCAATAAGATTTAGTTACTTAAAGGAAAGATTCCTTTTGAAGCTATTCTCAATAAACAATAATCAACTTTTAAAAAATATTTCATATTTATCACAATCACTGGCAGGTAGGCCTTTGTATATCATGCAAGGATTTCCTCAGTTCACTCAGTTTCTCGAAAATTCCAACATTTATAAGCCTTCAATCTTACCATGCTATGAAGGGCATTTTGAGAGCAAATTTCCATCAATTGACATAAATATCTACAAGGAGCTTTCTACTAAAGAGGAGGTGTTTGGTGAACTATCAAATTGGATTGATCATAAACATATTTATACAGATGGCTCAAAAAATGATTCAAGTGCATCTTTTTCTTTTTACGTTAGCTCTATAAAATCTGGTTTAGGTTACAAGATAGACAAAAATTCCTCTGTATTCACTGCAGAAGCTCTAGCAATTTTGGCTGCTCTGAAACACATAAAACACCAAAATCAAGGACATAAAAAATGGCTAATACTTAGTGATAGCATGAGTGTGCTCAAAAACTTAGAAAACAATAAATTAAGTGCAAACACCAATTACATTATTCATGCTATTAAAGAAGTCTGGTATGATCTATACAATGTTGATAATATAATTGTAAGTTTCATGTGGGTTCCGTCTCACATTGGTGTAACAGGTAATGAAAATGCAGATTATCTAGCAAAATCTATCAATACTCTAGCTACTGAAACCAATACTCAGAAGATGTCTATACCTTATACAGATTTGATTGTTCTGCTAAAGGAAAGAATGCACCAAGAGTGGCGAGCCCATTGGAATTGTATAGTACAGGTTAAAGGTAAAGGTCTATGGTACACACCTCTTTATGTTGATGTAAACAAATTGCCATGGTTCTGCAAATCAAATAGCTTTTTGAATAGAAAATTCTATACGACGATTTTTCGCTTAAGGTTTGGTCATTGTCGGCTTAATTTCCATCTCTTTCGGTTGCAAATGGTGAATAATGCTCAATGTACTCATTGCAATTCCCAAGAAGAAACCCTAGCTCACATTTTCTTTGACTGCCCATCCTTCGGCATTCAGCGCCTTGTGTTGTTGGATGAGCTAATCCAAATTTATGGCAAACATGATTTGGTCCCGCGTTCCTTGACCGATCTTCTTGTAAATAATTGTACATACGTTCCTCTGTATAATTTCATTGCAAACACTGTTGAAGAAATATAAATATTCTGTAATATCGTTGTGTATTAGATTTTAAGGTTAAATGTTCTGCATACACAAAACGCTCAGTTAAGTTTAATAGGTACCGCATGTTCTCTTTTCTTTTATTTGTTTGAAAAAAATGTTTATTTTCGTAATTTTGCTTGTAGGTATTCTTTTTCGTTTAGGTCGTCGGTTTGAAACAAGTTTGAAACGTATCAAATGTCGTTGTTTTAAGTTTGTTTTTTCTTTTCTTAAGTTTTGTATTAGGATTAAGGTATTGCATGGTATTGGTCTATGATTTATTTTTTGTGTAAATGTGTACTATAAAAAAGATATTAAATAAATATGAAATTCATATAGGATGTAATTAATTCATGATTGGACTGTCTAGTAAGAGAAAAAATTAAATGTTTGGTGTTTAAGATGTTCAATGTGCTCGGAAAAAAGCACATAATAATAGAGTAAAACAAAAACCTAGAAAATATACCGGAAATTATCAAACTGAGGAAGTTATATTGAATTTTAATAATAAAAAGAAGAAAAATAACTAATGACGAGGCAGTATGGTCCCAGACCTTAGCCTGTCCGAAAGGACAAACGAAAAAAAAAAAAAAAAAAAAAATTGAGCATTGTTTTTGTTTTGTATTTTGTGTTTTAAACTATAAAAAATAATAATGAACAAAGAGAATATTGATGTGCCGCGAAGGCGAATGAATAAAAAGCAGCAAGCGCTTTTGATAGAGCGCTTACATTCCAATATATTAATTGTCAGAGGTCAGTATTAAAATTTGCTAAATAATTTTGTATGTGGACAGATTTATGTTCGAGTTAGGCAACCTACTTTGACTAAGTCATAAATAGGCTTGTGATTTCTTTTAGGAAGTAGGGAGGAGGAGGACAGCAAACAATTTTAGAAAAGTGTTGTTGCGGAACTGAATTTGTTGGGCTGTCGCCGCACGGTGGAAGAATGGCAACATGTAAGCGTTTACTCCGACGTTAAACCTTAGAAATTCTATTTTTTAAGCTTATAAGTACTCAAAACAATACTATTCCTTACAGATCTGGGATGCATGGGTCAATAAAACAAAAATTAAGGCCCGTAGAGTACGAAGTCACATGGCTGCGACTGGTGGAGGACCAGCCATTCCAGGCCTAACTGAGATTGAGGAAAAGATTCTGTATGTGGTGGGATCTGCCTCAATCACTGGCTTTACAGATGAAGAAGTTGTATGTATAATTCCATGTATTAGTTGATAACAACAACTGTTAATGACTTTTCTAACACATACTTTTTATATTCTAGGGGATTGATCTACCAGCCGCAGCAGCATTACAACCACATGTATTGACTCAACAGGCTCTGGCACAATGTGTCGATGCTCCTGGTCCATCTGGGATCATCCCCCCAATCAACCAACCCACAAGGAATGCAGCTGTAGACCAAGAGTTACAAATTAGAACACCTTGTGAGCCAAGGTCTAGAGCTCATACTGGGGTCAGGTCTTCTAGATCTCGCCCTAGACTCTCTAGACCTCGGCTCCCAGTTAATGACAATTTGGTTAGGAGCCTCAATGAAAATAATGCTCTATTGAGGGGCACAATAATTGAGGCTTCTAATAATTTAGCAGCTGCATTAATCTCCATGGGGGAGCAAAATCTCAGAGCAGCTGAAATACTTGCTGCTGCAATCCGGGATGCAATCCCTAAATAACTTATATTATAATGGTGAAACCATCATGTTGGCACTTCGCATTTCATCTGGTCCGCAACAACATTAGTCCAAATATTTGTTGATCTCCTTCCCCCCATTGATTGGGGTCCGTCAGTCTGGCAGTACCACCCTCTTTGATAAATTTATTGGTTATGAATTTTACAACCCTTTTCTAATAATATTTGGAACACCATAATGCTTCATTTTATTTCACGATGCTTCATGGCTAACGCAGTCTAATTTATAAGCCTTTGATAAGTCGCAAAGAATGCCATCGCATTGTGCTTACTCTCCCAGTACATGGATTGTAAAATTTATGATTAGGTTATTGAAGTAGGTTGTACTGCAAGACTGACAGACACCCTTGATTAATACAAATGTAGGTGATGATTTTTAAATTACGCAATTTTAATATTTTCTTATGATTTTATTATTTTTTATTTCATAAAAATCAAACAGACTAACAGGTAATTAGTATTATACTTATTGTATTGATTTTTAGTTATATAATTGTGTTATTTTCTTGTGTTTTAAGTTTTGGTAACAGTCTATATTACAACACAGACTGGGAGAAACTCTTGATTATTATTATTGTGTTAATTTTGAAATTATAATTTAATATAATTTTTAACTGGCAGCCACTCGTGATTTTGTCTGCCTTAACTTTAGTTTTTTGAGTATCCCAAAGGAATCTTAAATTTTTCTTGGAATCTTGGTATCTGATGTCTCAGTCTAGGTCATAAACTATGTGTACCAAATTTCATCCTAATCAGTTTAGAAGTTTTTCTGTGATTTGAGTACCTAACAAACATTTAATAATATTAGTGGGATTGTGTGCTGTTTTCATGTGTTTCATTATGTGATAACAGTTTTTATTGCAAAATAAAACAGACTGACAGACACCCTTGGTTATTAGAATTGTAAGTGTTGATTTTAAATTATATAATTGTGTTATAAAAAGTAATAAAAGATTTTAATTACAAAACAGTAAAAATAAATATTCCTAACCTTCTTATTAGAATTGTAAGTGTTGATTTTTAAATTATATAATAGTATTATTTTTCATGTGTTTAAAATTTTTATTACGAAATAAAACAATATGTAACAAATTAATATTTTTCATTTTAATGATCAAAATAATCCCTAACTACAGAGTCTCTAATTCTGTTCGCCATTAACAAATAATCATCTGCATCACTAACCGCCTCCACAGCGTCATGATCATTATCTTCAGAATCAATATTGTTGTCATCATCATCATCTGAATCTGAAATTGAATAAAATTAACACTATCTTGGAAGGTCTATTAAATGATGTAAAATTTGTTTTTCTAGTGAATTACTACCTGATAGAACCTCTGTGAAGTTGTTGTACAATGTACAACATGCAACAATAATTTTACTGGCTGTTGGTGGCTCATAGTGGAGGCAGCGGTGTTGATGAAGACATCTGAATTTGTTTTTTAAACGTCCATGGCACATTTCTACTACATTTCTTGCTTTGGAGTGGCATCTATTATAATTTTCCTGGCCAGTATTCTGAGGGTTAAAATATGGAGTCAAGAGCCAAGGCTGCAAAGGATACCCTTTATCACCTTAAATAAAAAGAAGAAATGTTTAAAACACAACAAATAAATTATATATACAACTAAAGTAGTAAAATAAAAGAATAAACTGTTCTGCACCTAAGAGCCACTGTTTTGTTGCTCCGTTTATATGTTCACTTTCTAGGGAATTTTTAAGTTGACTCATGCTCCATATTGCAGCATCATGAGTTGAGCCTGGGAAATTTGGGTTAACAGATATTATTTTCCCATGTGCATTGACAACCTGAAAATTCCAATTATATTTAATGATTTTACATGAATTATGACAAACATCAATATTATAGGTACCAATCAACTAATCCTTGACCACAATCATGCTTAGTGGCAAAAAACAATGAAGTACAATGAAGCAAGTATACTAAGACTTAATTATACAAAGACAAGTGATTGTAAAAGGCTATAAACTTGTAATAAGTTTTTTTCTTACTTACCATTTGAACGTTGATACTGTAGAATTGTTTCCTGTTGTAAAATAGGGAGCCAGGCGCAGTAGGGTGATTTATAGGTGGCTTGAATATGGCTATGTGTGTACCATCTATTGCTCCAAGTACACCAGGCATCCCATACAATTCTAAAAAACTATTTTCAGACATTGTTTTTAACAAATTAAGTGTTTTTAACTTTTAAGAAGTAGGTCCTTAAAAGGACACTTCATAATATTTGTTTACTGTAACTTACTCTCTTTTAGATTTTCGCTTTTCTTCTTGCGAAAACGGAAATTTGATGGATGTATGAGCCAGCTCCCTTGCAATAGCATGAGATGTCATATTTATGCATCTACTAGCTGAAGGTTGGCTCAAACCTAGTAAGCTGTCTTCACCAACAGCTGCTTGATAGCTGCCATGACTATAAAAGTTCAAAGCTGCTAGAACCTGTAAAAATAATGATGTGTGATAACATGTAGGTATAAAATATTAACTTCAGCATTCTGTTTAGTTACGCACCTTAATATGCTTAGGAATTGTGCCTTCTGCAAGACGGCTATCACTCAGCGTGTCTATCAAGTGTGAGGCTGCAGTTCTAGGAATTCGGAACAATTTTCTAAACTTTTGCTCCGTCAAATCAAACGGATTTGATGAATCCCGTATATTTATAAGTCGGATTCTTTCTTGGTTATTCCTAAAATTAATTAAAATAACTTACTTATGGAGAAAAATATGTAAATAAAAGGACGACACAGAAACTGCCGAACCTAAACAAAATTATTGTTATGTACTTAAAAATCCTTCTGTTTTACCTTTCTGCTGCATCTCCAACAACAGCCACCACATAATCTCCAAACATTTACAAGTAATAATAAAAATATCGCCTTCCGAATTTTAGGATAATTTTATCCGACTCGTTTATGATCTCGTATAAACTTAACTAAATTTACGTCTCAAATGTCACTTTTGAGTTGTCCAGAATAGCATTCAATAGCCTAAGTCTAAATTTGTCTTAAATTGAATAGTTTAGAACTGTCATTTAAAATTAGGATTAAAACTGTGTCCGCAGAATAGCAAACCGAGTTTTGACATTTCTAAGTCTAAATTTAATTTTATTTTAAGTTTTTGTGTCTGCGAGAATCGACACCAAATGGGTTCATAAATAACACCATTTTTAATTAGAATGGCTACTCCACCATAGCCATCCATTCTATCTTCTCTAATAGTATGATAACCATTAATTTTAAAATTTCTTTGAGATGTAAGCCATGTTTCAGACAAGGCTAAAACAGAAGGCTCAAAAGGCACTACGGCAGTTTCACTGTATTATCTTGTCTGTTTGTCTGTCCATTGATGAATTGAATGTTATTTTTAGTAATCTGAGCAGCGTTGGACGGTGGAAGGATATTGAATTGAGTAAACACATTGAAGAGAGCAGTAATAATATCAGAAGGGAGTTGATTCACTGAGGATGTTCTGTCATCACTTGTACTAAGACCACAGCCATTGTTAAGGGTAGGAATTGCAAATTCCTTCAATATAGTATTATGGGCTATGGTAACATAGCATAGCCTTTTGAAAATGCAGGCATATTACGCGGTTTCTTAAAAATAGTTTTTTTATAAGATGTTGTGTGGTTTATGTTACTATTAGATAAATTACTTATCATAGGTTCATTTACTATTTTTGAGGAAGGGGTCATTAAAGTATCAGCATAGGACCTAGATAAGGGTGGAAGTAATTTTGATGCTTCTGCGTATGATACACAGTTTTTTGCCATGTATAATTTAATTTGGGATTGCCTAACATATTCCGGACAGGATTTATTATTGGCGTAGTGGTGCCCATCACACCAGCAGCAGAGCGCATCTTCCTCTGTGATATTGCATGAGTCACCTGTATGATTTTGACCACATTTAAAATATCTAGGTTTAGATCTACATTGAACTTTAGTATGTCCGAAACGGCAGCAATGATAACATTGGATTGTAGGAAATATATACAGATCCACATTGAGTGCATTGTAACACATGAAAATTCGTTTTGGTAAAATTTGGCCATTAAAGGTTAAAACTATAGTTTGGGATGGCTTCCAGGTAGGAGTTCCATCTACAAAGGATTTATAATTTTCAGAATTTCACCACAACCTATGGGAACAGAAATATTACTTTTAACTTCCTCCAGAGACCACTCTGCAGGGACACCTCTAACTAAACCCATTCGTGTACTGTTAAATGTTGGAATATATGCTTTTAAATTATTTTTTGACCAACTACTATGATTGATGAAATTATTTGCATCAGTAAATTTTGAGAACGAAACTTGCATTTTATTTCGCCCAATCTTTTTTACACTTCCATTAATTATATTGTAAAAAGAGTTTTGTTTGAGAAATTTACCAAACGACATGGGATGCATTGTGATTCCGTCTGATGATGAATCTTGCTCTCTCTGTACATGCACTACAAAAGGTGAAGCATCGGTTTTGTCATAAAAATTCCTACCTATAGGAATCAGTACTGGGGAGGGTATGGACACAGGAGAAGTTTTAGAGTCATTGACACTCAGGCTATTTGATTCTTGTTGGACTGGCGTTGCGGTGGATTCATAGCAACTGCAATCTGTAACTTTAGGTTCTGACGAGGAATGTTTGCGCCTTTTTTTGTTGCAATGTTTGCAAACATGGAGCCGGCTCCGTTTTAATGTGCGACTGGATATGGAACCATCTGTTTCCATACCAGATTCATTATTTGAAGTAATGGTAACAAAATTACTAGCCGGGGGGACGTTCATACAACTATAAGATAATAATCAAATTTTGACTTACCAAGGCAGCAGGGACAATAAATAAAGAAATACACTAAATATATATACAATATTAATAAACAAACCTATCCGCTGATCACTATTTTAACTTCTATTAAGTAAATATTTTCAGATGCCAAAAGAACGCGTCCGCCAAGTTGGAA